GGATCAAAGAGATGTGATACTTTTAAACAATGGAATATATAAAAGGCTATAAAAAAGGCTCTTGAGGCTTTTATAGATAAATGGAAGCAACTTGAAACTATCCTAAGTGAAATAAATCAGACTCACATTTGTAAATATTGTATTGCCTCTGTAGTGTAAAATAATAATTAATAATCAATTATAATTAATAATTAAAATCTGAAAGAGTAATAAGATTCAAAATGTACAATAGACATTGCAATAATGAAGCAGAAAAAGTGCTCAAGGAAAGAATAACTTATAGGTATACACATATAACTGTATGAATGTATAAGTGTGCAAGATAGATAACCACACTAATTCTATTAGTTCATCAAAAAGAATACTTTGTTCTGTCATTATTTGTCTGTCCATTTTTATGCTTAGATTTTGTAACTTGAACAACTACTTCTAAGATAACAATATGTAATATATTAACTAGTGCTGATTTCTTGTTATTTTTTGAAATTCTGTATTATTTCTGCCCTTTTTTCTATTTTGCTTTTTAAAAATAAAAAAGTAACAGAGTGGCAGGATATTTCAGGTATATAGTGATAAAACTGCAAGGAGAAATAGATTAATCCACTATTTATAGTTGGAGACTTAAACACCTCCCCACCAGTAGTTGACAGATCCAGCAAGACGAAAATCAGTAAAGTTACAAACAGCACCATCAATCAACTGAATTAATTGACATCTGTAAAATTCTTCATTCTTCTCAGCCCCACACAGAACATACACCAAAAGAGGCCACATTCTAGGCTGTAAAAAGTTTCTCTTTTTTTCCTGGAGTAAAAAATCTTTTTAAAAGAGTAAAAATCACATAATGCTTGCTTCCAGACTACAGTGAAATTGCACTAACATCAGTTAGAAAGATAGCTGGAGAATGTCAGACTCTTGGAAATTAACACACTTCTAAGTAACATGTAAGTCAAAGAGGACTTGGGCCTGGCGTACAGCTCAGTGGCACAGCACTTGCCTGGGAAGCATAAGGTCCTGAGCTTGATTCCTGGTACTTACATACAAAAAGAGAAATTAGAAATACATTGAACCAAATAAAATTAAAGTTTGTGGGATGAACCAAAAGTAGTGTTTATGGGAAAATGTATAGTCTTAAATGACTTTATTACAGCTGGGTGTGGTGGCACACGCCTGAAGTCCCAGCACTCATGAGGCTGAGGTAGGAAGATCATTGTGAGTTTGAGAGCAGTCTGGGTTACAAAGTGAGCTCAAGGCCAACCTGAACTGCAAAATTAGACCTTGCTTCAAAAAGACGTAAATAAATACATAAATGACTTTATTACAAATGATTTAAAATCAATATTCTAAGCTTCTACCTTAGGAAACAAGAAAAAGCACAAATTAAATTCCAAATCATAAAAAGAAATAATAAAATCTAGACCAAAAAAAATCAATGAAATTAAAAATAAGAAATCAAAAGGTAAAGTCAATGAAACCAAAATCTGATTCTTTAAAAGATCAATTAAATTGATAAATATCAAGATCAATAGAAGAAAAACTACCAATACCAGAAATGAAGTGGAACAATCACTACTGCACCCATGAACATTCAAAGGCCAATAAAGAAATAGGAAAAAAAAAAATAGGAACATCTCTATAGATACACAGATACCCAGGCTACAAAGGACAGACAGAATACAGGGATTGAAAGAGGGCTGCTACTGTCACTTGCTGCTTTCTGCCTGCTGTAAGCTGTTTCCCCTCTGCGATGCCCCTCTGCCATGCCACCCTGTCCTGGAGCCAGGTAACTGAGAACTCCAACCTTTACAGACTGCAAACTACAATAAATCTTTCCCCCTTTATCTTTGGGTATCAGATATTTTGTCTCAGCAGCAAGAAAGATGTAGCTAACACAACCACTCACATTTGATACTACACTTTGGTGACACTTGCATTGGCACAAAAACAGAGATTTAAGTAGAAATGGTACAAAATATGTACGATATGACTTACTGTATGAGAACTATAAACCTCAAATGAAATAAAGTTCCATACAAATTGAGAGATATTCTATATTGATTGAAGGAAAATGAATAGAAGATGTCAGTTCTTTTCAACTCAGTCTCTGCATTCAGTGAAATTATAGTCAAAACCACAGGAGCTATTTTTTATGGGTTTCAACAAAAATAATTCCAAAGTTTAAATGAAAACCCCTAAGACCCAGAATAACTGAGACAATACAGAAGAACAAAACTGAAGAATTTACACTATCTGACTTCAAGACTTACTGTAAAACTACATTAACCAAGACAACATAGCACTGGAAAACAAACAGATCAATGAAACCAAATAGAAAGCACAGAGAGCCGTACAAACGCAGTCATCCCAGTGCCAGAAGTGACTCTGTGATACGCTGCAGTTCAGGTCAAGTTCAGTTTACATGAAAAGTCGTTAACAGTACTTTGCATTCAGGAACCATCAGTATCTCCTATACAAGCTGGGACTTCTCATATCTAAATAAACATATTTCATGACTTTCTATGAAAGGATAAAATTTAGGAGTATGATAAAATACTTGTTATCAAAGTTAGTTTCTTTATACAATCCAAACCATCTGTTTTGAGAAAAACAAGTCATCAGTCAATTGTGTAAGAGAAAACTCTAGTTTTGCGTAGTTTGTTTCAGGCAGATTTACCATCAAAAAGTTTGGGTATTTATTTGGCTGTTTTGAATTCTTTTCCCCTTCTAGTTTCTCTTGTCAGAAAAGAAAAACAACTTACAACATGGTATTTAAATAAAAACTTTTAGGTCCATGTGATTTTTTTATAGGTAAGCTTTAATATATGTAACTTGCTTAAGCTGTTTGGCACTAAGATATACCTATTTTTATTTATTTATTTAAAAAAGCTATTACTCTACGCTTGATCTTAGCCAAAAGGCCAAGACAGTGAGGCTTCTATCAATGTTTTCCCTTGTAGTAAAACAAAACCACGAAGTACTTCACACAGTCTCTGGCTCTTAGGCAGAGAGTAAATGACTTGTGTTAATATACCATTGTCAGGTCATAGGTATACCAAGATTTTGTCTGAATCAGTATCATAATGACTTTGACATCTTAGAGGCATGGCTTTTTATCAATTTTTAAATGATATCATGTTTGGATTGCGGAGTAAGTGAACACTAAAATGTAGATTGAAATTTAATTCAGTGTTTGATATGAAAATAGACAAAGCCATTTTGATCTCTTGATACTTCAAACTCACTAATTTCTTAAAGCATATATTTTACTTTTATAACTTTATTTCTACTCCATGTAAAAATATTTTTGAGGGCTGGGGATTTAGCTCAGTGGCATAAGCGCCTGCCCTGCAAATGCACAGTTGTGAGTTTGATCCCTGGTACCAAAAAAAAATTTTTTTTTTGACACTTTCAAACACTTCTTTGCAAACAGCAAATTTGGAGAGGGATAGATTTTATTCCTAAAAAGAAACCAGTTTGTAAAATTAACCACCGTATTTTCTTCTTTTTATATTTTTGTGTGTGGGTGTGTTGTTTCGGGCTTTTTGGTACTAGAGAGTGAATCCAGGGCCTTTGTACTGAGCTCTTTCTTATTTTGACACAGGGTCCTGGTAAATTGCCCAGGCAGGACTTGAACTTGTGATCCTCTTGCTTTAGCTTTCCAGATTGCTGGGATTACAGGCATGTGCCACCGGACTCAGATCACATTTGCTTTCTAAGGAGGAACATTATTTTTAAAAGTATACCAATTGTCTTATGTGTCTTATGACTTTTAGCCTTTTAGTCTGGCTGTTAATTTGTATGTGTGGTAACTAACTGCATAAGGACTGTAAGCTAAATAAATGCTGGAAAAAAGGAGGATAAAAGGAAATCAAAAGAATCAAGGTATGTTATGTTCATGTACCAATTCCCTATGAATGTAATCATTATGCACTGAAACCATGTACTAATACAATTTTTAATTTTTTTTTTTTTTTTTTTTGTACCAGGAATCAAACTCAGGAGCTTGCACTTGCCAGGCAGGAACTGTGCTGCTGAGCTACATCCTCAACCCTTAATATTTTTTAAAAAAGAACTGAAGAGGGCTGGGGATTTAGCTCAGCGGCATAAGCGCCTGCCTTGAAAGCAGGCAGCCGTGAGTTCGAACCCTGGTACCGATAAAAATGAAAAAAGACAAAAACAAAAAAAAAAAAAGAACTGAAGAGCTAGAGACATCTCAGTGGACTACGTGATAGTCCTTACATACTAGTACACTACATGATATAACTTACACAAATGGTAAAACATACCTTGAAGTAAACACAAAGAATATTTTCATTAGTTTGTATTTCAACACTAGAATATTTCCTATTTCTGTGACACTAAAAATATATTAACCCGTACTGAAGTTTAAAACCTTTGTGATGGCATTATTTTCTGAGTGACATCAACTAAGGAGTAATCAGAACACATGACTAGGCCATCAGCATATTCTTCCAGCCTCTGCCCATTTTTGAGTTTGCATACGAGACCCACTGCAACACCTTCTACTGGTTCTGTTTCTAGAGACAGAATTCAGTAATTCAATAACAAACACCCAAAAGATGCCCTCAATGCCTTCAAAGCTTTCTCTGACTGCACTTCAATGGGTGCCATGCCTTGGAAACCACCTCTCTAATTTCTTTAAATGGTCATTCAGCCCAGCAGGTGGGCGGTGCATTCCCTGCCAACAGACTATGTCTTCACATTCCGCCTCATAGTAGTCTCTATCTAGGGCAGTGATGACACACAGAAAGCTTGTGACTGCTCTCGTTACCTTAGAAATCAACCCAAGATATCCTCAAAACTCACAAGTAGGTAGCTGAACGTGTAAATGAAGGCCAGAAACTTTAATGGTTGGAAGTCGGTACTTTGCAGAATGGGGAATGGAAGATTAAAGCATTGGGGCAACAGTTCATGAGAAGAACTCAGAGGAAGAGTGAATAGCAAAGATGCTGTACATGAAACTGGCAACTGACCAGGCGATGGCTGAAGCCAAAGACCTAGAAGATAAATGCAAGGCTACAAGAACAATGCGAGTGACCAAAGAGGTTGTGGGGACAGGGGACAGTGGGAGACTCTCGAAGGAGATAGGAGCCACGCAGACCCAACCCTCACAGCCTTCCACAGAGACAGAGTGGTTGGGTCTGAGTACAGAAAACCAGTGAGTATTCTTTTCCTTCCATTTTGGGTATAAGCCACAGAATGTTCGTATCTGGGAACAAATGTAGCACATGGATGAAAATGATGGGAACCAGAATCACAGAGGTCACAGCTGCCACTGAAACCAGCCCTGGACCCACTGACAACTGCTAACCCCTGGCCTCTACTCTCTTTGCCATGAAATGAGGAATAATAAGTACTTCCTAAGGTTTTAAATATTAATAATCCACTTTAAGCTTATAGCACAGCATCTACAGTAATCTCAAAAAACTGTTGCTATAAATAAGGAACTCTTAGAAAAGAGATACATGAAATCAGATTCATCATATTAAGAAATCCGCTTTACTTAAAAGACAAATAGTTCCATGTTCTATGTTACAAAATCTTCTCTTTTGGTTGTTAAATACAGAACTATTTCGTCACTAATCAGGTTAAGAAACATGAGATCTCTAAGACCCCTAAATGTGACTCTGCTCAATGGTAAGGGACAAAGTCTCACTGCATTTATCTGTATTAAATTTTCAAAAAACTTAGCTAATCACTTCACTTTCCATTTAAAATGTAAGCCTTTGACAAGAATCATGGAACATACTTAAAGAGCTGCTAGAAATTTTTACTAATATCTTTACATATAACTGAACTTAAAGTGAATTTAACACCTTTCAAAACTTTTCTCATCAAAACTGGGTTCTTTTGGGGCTGGGGATTTAGCTCAGCGGCATAAGCACCTGCCTTGCAAGCAGGCGGTCGTGAGTTCGATCCCTGGTACCGATAAAAATGAGAAAGACAAAAAAAAAAAAAAAAAAAAAAAAAAACTGGGTTCTTTCATTAACAGTATACAAAAGCAATGGTCTGTGATATTTGAAGCAGCGGTTCCATCTTCTCTTGCCAGTATTAAAATAAATGTGCTAAAAAAGATAAAATAATAAAATAAAATAAATGTGCTTCCCATAGTTGCAACCTCAAAGGCAACGTAGCTCTTGCACCAGAGCACATTTCTTCCTTGCTTCGGGGAAAGGAAGGAGATAAACAGAGTCCTATCCTGTTGGCACAAAGAAATACCTTGTATTGTGTGGCAAGTGGGTCCCAAGTCAACCTCCTGGAGCAGTTCATTCTGTAACATGTTTCCTAATGTCTTTCTCCAAATCCTGGCATTCCTCTTTTTGACATTCCAGATTGAACTGGGCTAGAAATACTAAAGATCCTTGGATTGCAGCAGGTCCCTTTTCCCCACTAGAAAAGAAGATTAAGGTGAGAAAATACATTTTCTATGAACTTCAGATTCATCATTAAGGTCATAGAAAGTTTATTATAGAAGTCAAAAGGGTCCAAGTGTTTCAAGACAAAGTATCCTGTTTAGTCTGGCATTTGATTCTCAAAGCACCTGGACTGATGTCGGTATAGCAGTGAATAAAATAAACACACTATGTCCTCGTAAGCCCTTAATCTAGTGACGGGCATTAAACAAAGTTATCACAAATTGGGGTGTCATGAAAGAATTTCTGTCCGAAAAGCATGTGGAACACGTAAAGAAACGATACATGAGCTGAAATCTAAACATTAGAAACCTGAATACCACAGTGCTGCTGATGTTTGGGGCAGATGAAGGAAGAACATGTGAAAACACTCATATGGCAAAGAGAATACCATTTTTGAGAAAGAGATGTTAGTGTAGCTGCAGCAGAGGCAGATGGAGAAAAAGTAGCAAGAGAAAGAGAATCAGGATATTCAGTCATGTGAGGGGACTCAGCAAATGGCTAAGATAGTCTGAGGGGCCCAGGATGACCTTAGTCACATGATCTCAGGGGTAGCTTGGAAAAAGGGAGAACTTTCAAAAAAGAGAGAACGTGGTTATCTGTTAAATGCTACTTGAGGTCTCACTGATAGTAATCGCAATAGGACCACCGTACTTCCTACTGGAGACCACTCATGACCTAGACAAGAGCAATCTCAGAGCAGTGGACAATGAAAGCCAAATGGAAGGGAATCGGGAAAACAGAGAGAAGTTAGAGAGGGGTTACAGATAAGCACTCAGAGTACACTGTGAAGCCGGGAGCAAAAAGAATGAACGGTAAAGGCATCCCCTAGAGGAAGAGTTCTTTCATTTAAAAAGATTGTATATATAGTGTAGTATGCACACTTTCGTGCTGATAGGAGTGATTTAATAGAGGGGAAGTTTGGTGATGCAGCAAAGGAAACTTGGAATTCCTGAAGCTCAACAAGCATAGGTGGAAGAACTGGCAAAGTTAGGGCAGCCTGACTAGGAAGAGGGTGCTCCCGAGTGCTTGTTTTCTCAAGGACATCCAAAGCAAAGTCCCAGGAGGGAACGCTGCGGGTAGGGGAGGTACAGAGAAAGATGTGACTACAGTACTTGGTTAAGAGACCCCAACTGGGGCAGAGTGTAGGAGTATCAGGCAGGACTAATAACCCCTTTGAGATCTGTACCATGGATCTAAATTCAGGATACCCAACTTTAAAAGTTCTAATTACCCTTTGATAAGAGTTTAGGTGACATCCATTCTTCAGGAGTGAGAAAACTACTAGCCCAACAGTTTCAAAAGGAGAATGAAGCACTTGATAAACTTAAGGCCATGTCTTATGACTTCTGGTTTGCTAAAGCAGAGGCATACTACCATCAACGGTATCAAGAAATCACAATGAAAACAGCACAGGACTACAAAACAGTTCCAGAAATTAAAATACATGAAGATGAGAAGAGATCACAAAGTAAAAAATCAGAAGATGCTAAAAATTGGGAGTACCTAGTGTCTAAGAGGGAACTGAATCACATACAAAAACACATACACCAAATGGAAAGAGCTAAAGGCCTCAGAGACCACAAATATCGACTACTTTCTCAAAGAACTCCAAGTGAAATACTTTCCCCGAAAACGTTGCCACTGGAGGATGAAAAGAATGGAACTATTCAGAAAACACACAAAACTGAAACCAAAAAGCACAAGGTGGCATGGGCCCAGGAGCAGATGACGGGACATCAAGATCGAATGATTCGAGGGAGAAAACTTACGGAGCAGAGAAATAATCAAAAAGATGTTTGGAAACTCTCTAGCTGTGCTCCTCCTCTCCCAAAATCTCAAGCGGTGAAGAAGGTGAAAGAGTATGAAAGGATCACAGCTTATCCTATATTCCAGCCTTACCAGAAAGCACTCATGGAAGTGAATATCCTGAGGGAAAAATCAAAAGAGGCTAAAATTCAAAAACCATTCCCCAGGGAGTTCTTAAGTATACCGCCATTCCTGAGAAGTAAACTAGAAAAATATAAACTTTTAAGTTATTTTACTATTGTATTTCTTTTTAAGCATATTTTATAGTAATTAGTGCAATAAAATTGTAGAAAGTAGACAAAAAGAAAAAGCAACTCCAGATGTGTGGTGTTAAAACAATTTGTGTGATTTCATTTATGGAAAATATCCAAAGCAGGCAAATTTGTAGACAGAAAAGTAGGTTTGTCACTAGTTAGAGTTAAGAGATAGAAGAAGAAAGGGGAGTGACAGTTAATGAATACAGGGTAAGGCGACAAAAATTTTGGAGACAGCTACACAACCTATGAATTAATTTTAAAATACTGAATTGTACTAAGTGAGTAAATTATATCTCAATTAATCTATTTAACAAAAAGAAAATGCTAGAATTTAGAAGGACGTGATCCAAAAAGTATGGGCAAGTGACCTGATTCTGAAGGCCCTGAATTTCACCAGAAAATTAGCAACTGATGAACACACGGGGTTTAAAGGGTTGCAGGGGTTTCTGTCCAAAGAAATAATGTGCCAGTATAGGAATTAAAAGACTGGAGTGGGAGGCAGTTTTATGAAGGTTTAAAATAGCCTATATGCTGTCTAATAAACAGTTGGTTACATATATCTAACATTTTCAATTAGTTTAGGTATTAAAGTTTTGAGCTGTTCAGGAAATAACTGTATATGGATCAAGAGACTAAGACAGTGGAAATCAGAAAAAAGGCAGATATTTCTCCTTTGTTTGTTTTTTGAGACAAGGTCTCACCATACAATCCAGGGGGCCTCGAACTCAAAGCATTCCTCCTGCCTCAGCCTCTAAAGTGCTGAGCCTACAGGAATGGGCCACCATGCTCCACAAAAGCAGGTATTTCACATGTCAGATACTCAGAATTTACTCAATCAACTCTGTTTGGAAAGGAATTGGTAAAAGTGGTATAGCACTCAGAAGACTGATGGAAAAGGAGGTGTCACTTTGCCATGGTTTGAGGATGTACAGGAGACCTCAAGTGATTCTTTGAGATTAGGTAGGATAATATATTGCTCGTTGAAGGTTACACTTAACTTTTTTTCTGTTGGTACTGGGGATTGAACCAAGGTTATCTTCTGTTTGTTTTTTTGGTTCCAGGGATTGAACTCATGACCTTGCGCTTGCCAAGCAGGCACTTATACCGCTGAGCTAAACTCCCAGCCCTCCTCTAATATTTTTTTGAGAGGAGGTCTTGCTAAGTCTCTTAAGTTGCCCTGGCTGGGCTCCAACTTGTGCTTCTCCTGCCTCAGCACCCCAGAGTTCTGGGATTACACAAATGTACCATCACATTCAATCACAATTAACTATTTTTTAAGATGGGAAGTGAGCTTAGTTAAAGGGAAAATACATATATGGCTAGATAGCACAGTCTCCTAGGAAGAGCAGGAATGCTCCAGAAAAATGATGAAAGTAGAAAGTGAAGGAATGGGAGGAAGAAGCCCAGAAAACACTGAGGGCAGATCTGAAAGCCTATCGGAGATCAGAAGGATGAAGCAGCATGCAGAAAGATGGATCCAGGCTATTACTCTTGAGGAAAGTAGCCCAGTCTGGCTCGCCAGAGGATTTAATAGTTTCTTGTATGCAAGTTACAGGTTGAACCATAAGAAATTATTGATTTGACCAATGTTAGCCTTCAAAAACAACAACTTCAGAAGGTACAACCTATTTGTTGACTTGGTCTTTACAACTAAAGACACATAAAAACTATAATGATCCATGGGGAATTAACTACCTAAGGAAAACTTCTCAATGCAACAGCTTTGAAAAAAGGAGAAATTCTCTCATGTATACAAAGTAAAAAGAGCACAATTACTTGTAAACATGACACTGAATTTCTTTTAATCAAAGACAACCATCACAAATTTATTAACTATCAAAAGCTACATTTTACTAAAAACAACCTGTATTTAAAAATGTTGAATCATACAATATATACAATACATGCTGCTTTCCTTTTTGAATTTCACTATCCATTTGCATCCTAAAAAGAGAAGAAAAAGGACTAGTTAGCAGTTTATAAATGGTAAACCAAAAGGGCATATAATATGGATTTTAAAAAGTCTGTCTACCTCTCCTCAGTGAGTAGGGCCCAGCTGAATTCACATAGTATACCTTATATCTAGTCTCTCTCAGAGTATTTTGACAGAAACAAACATACTGAGAGTTTATATTAATTATTTTTTAAAAGCTCATTTAAATTCCAAAAATCATAGAAAATGAGCTAGAAGTAGAAAGTAATTATCTAGTTGAAAAGTGCCCCTTTATATGGACAGATGCATAACAAACAGAAAGCTGAGATGAAGCAACTTGCCCAAACGTTTAAACAAGGTGGCACCGACAGAGCCTACGTCCCCTCATCCCCACCCACAGCTGTCTGCAGCACACAAAGCCTGGCTATTTCTATTTTTTTCTAGAAATGCTCCCCTTCATAAAAATGAAGGATTATTTCATAGCATAATTCAGGTCTCAGAAATGTCCCTTTACTACATCACTCCCAGATAATTCTGCCTTTATCCTTCTCTGCTACTTTGTACTTACAAAACAAGCAAATCCAGTGGGACAGTGAAGGACACTGAGGGATTCCAATACTTCATTTATTTAATTTAGCTCTATGTTGTGGGAGGAGAGGGAGGCAAACTACAAGCTCTACAGCTGCAAATCTTAACCCAAGAGTAACAGATGCAGAGAAATACTTGCAATCACCATGTCCAACCCCTCCCTTCCTTCCTTTCACCGGCTATACACAGTTCTACCAGTCTGACACTAGAGGGAGGCAAAACCCCTATTTTACTGGATGGGAAAAGGATGCTTTGGATTGTCCCAACTGTTATACAGTGCAGCTGTCCCATAGATATTACCTTCAGCTGGCATCAAGTGCTTAGTCTCTGCCTGCTCTGTACTGGAGGAATCAAAGGCTCAGAAATTTCAAAGGTCTTTACAATCTCCTGGCAGAGAAGAAAGAACAATGTTTGGGTACTGGGCTTCATTAAGCAAATGCAGCCAGAACTATTCAGGGGCAACATGCAGAGCTTTACCTCCCAGTCCTGGTAACTCAAAGATATAACTGCTTGACTCCTAATTTGGGTGTTATGGTCAATTCCTTCAGTTTCCTCATTAGCAGGTTCTATTTGAAAGTCAAAGTTTTCAAAAGTTACAAAATCAAAACAGGTAATGTGAACAGTGGCTGATGAATAACAGCAATAAAACCTACACTGAGAGAAGACAGATATTATGTACTTATTAAGGCTTCATGCATTAAGTTGCTGTAGTGTCACATAGTAGCAAGTAATTTCATTTGTTTCCATTTTTGAAAACACACTCCAAACATTAGAAAACCTCTGTATATCTATATATCCTCCAAAGAGCCAAGCTCTAGGGGGTCCAGTACGAAACTGAGAACATCTGATGGAGCAAGCTAAGTGCAGTGCCTTTTTACAGGAGCCCTCAGGAGGACATGTGTAATAAAGACGGAAATTATTCAAGGAAGAATGAAGATTATAGAATCTCAGGTAAAGAAGGAGCTAACATCCAGAGAGAATTAACATACCTAAGTGACTGCAATTACAAACTTTCTAAACTAAATTTTGGGAAAATTATGTCATTTTTTTGTTCATCTATGTAGCAGATGTTGAATCAATGATATAAATGAATCCATCAAAGTTTTAAACTATGTTAAGTTTTAAGTTTTAAGCCATGTTTCAGAGTTTTCATTTAGCAAGATACAACATTGAAAAATTTGTTGCCCATAACGAACTCATTTACAGAATTAATGTAACTCATTTGCATTATTAACATACATTTCATAAACTTTAATACCAAATATGTTTTCTTTAAAACTTGTTTTTCCAAACAACATCATTTACCTATTACTGGCAATCGGTCTCGATCAAGCCTTATCCGTGCAAAACCATCCTAAAACAAAAACATGACTTTTAGGAGAAAAACCAAATTTATAATAACTACTGAATGAAAAAAAAATCATGTGTGTATCTCTGACAATCACAATGTATCCTAACAATGACTCAATACAGACAAGACCTCTCTAACGTGTTTCTTTACATTTAGGTATCACTCAGATTTCAAATCAACTTTTTCTACTCATGGCCTCCCTTCTTCCTGAGCCTCGCAAGAAAAACTGTCTTGTCTCTTTAACTGATTTATGCTTTTTTTTTGGCCTTTTTGAGACAGGGTCTCACTATGCAGTTCAGGATGGCCTTAGGTTCACTTTGTAGCCCAGTGTGGTCTCAAACTTGCAAATGATTCTCTTACCTCAGCCTCCCAAGTGCTGGATTACAGGAGTGTAGCACCACATCTGGAGATTTATGCATATTTTGTTATACATGTTTCACTTTTTGCTATGTATAATTCTATCACTGGACTACTGGTAAAATATGCCTCCTCTACAAGGTAGTTCCGAGACTTTGGTCAATACAAGCTTTTATCTGAGGTTCAAGTCAAATTTATTTTACCTGTGTAGGAACGCTTAAGTACCTTTCTATATAGAAGTGGTTTTTTTTCTTGTTTTGGTATCAGTGACTGAACATACAACCTCATGTTTGCCAAGCAGGTGCTTGTGCTGCTGAGCTAAACCCCCAGCCCCGAGTATAGGGTTTTTTAAAACCTACTTTGAAAAACTTCAGACATAAAAAGAGCTACAAAACTACTAATAAAGACCTCCCAATATCCTTACCCATATTCACAAGCTATTAAAGTTTTGCACCATTGGCTGTATTAGTCTCCCTAATATTATTATACATGAATGATGTGAAAATGAGACATCCTGCCCCTTCCCTATAATTTTTCAGTGAATATTTTGTGAGAACAGGTTATTCTCTTCTAAAACAAGGCAGTTACCAAATTTAAAAAATTTACTGTTATTTAATTTATAGTTAAACCTCCAACTTTTGGTAATTCTTCCTCTAAATACAGGTTAAGTACCCTTTATCTAAAACGATTGGGCACAGAAGTGTTTCAGGATTTTTGGATTTTG